TGTATGTAGTTTATAAGACTCCCTATGGTGTCGTTATAACTGTAGTATGTTGTATGTAGTTTATAAGGCTCACTATGATGTTATAACTGTAGTATGTTGTATGTAGTTTATAAGACTCCCTATGGTGTCGTTATAACTGTGGTATGCTGTATGTAGTTTATAAAACTCCTTATGGTGTCGTTATAACTGTAGTATGTTGTATGTAGTTTATAAGGCTCACTATGATGTTATAACTGTAGTATGTTGTATGTAGTTTATAAGACTCACTATGATGTCGTTATAACTGTGGTATATTGTATGTAGTTTATAAGGCTCACTATGATGTCGTTATAACTAGTTTATAAGGCTCACTATGATGTCGTTATAACTGTAGTATGTTGTATGTAGTTTATAAGGCTCACTATGATGTCGTTATAACTGTAGTATGTTGTATGTTGTATGTGTATGTAGTTTATAAGGCTCACTATGATGTCGTTATAACTGTGGTATATTGTATGTAGTTTATAAGGCTCACTATGATGTCGTTATAACTGTAGTATGTTGTATGTAGTTTATAAGACTCCCTATGGTGTCGTTATAACTGTAGTATGTTGTATGTAGTTTATAAGGCTCACTATGATGTTATAACTGTAGTATGTTGTATGTAGTTTATAAGACTCCCTATGGTGTCGTTATAACTGTAGTATGTTGTATGTAGTTTATAAGGCTCACTATGATGTTATAACTGTAGTATGTTGTATGTAGTTTATAAGACTCACTATGATGTCGTTATAACTGTAGTATGTTGTATGTAGTTTATAAGGCTCACTATGATGTTATAACTGTAGTGTGTTGTATGTAGTTTATAAGACTCACTATGATGTCGTTATAACTGTAGTATGTTGTATGTAGTTTATAAGGCTCACTATGATGTCGTTATAACTGTAGTTTGTTGTGTGTAGTTTATAAGGCTCACTATGATGTTATCACTGTAGTGTGTTGTATGTAGTTTATAAGACTCACTATGATGTCGTTATAACTGTAGTATGTTGTATGTAGTTTATAAGGCTCACTATGATGTCGTTATAACTGTAGTTTGTTGTATGTAGTTTATAAGACTCCCTATGGTGTCGTTATAACTGTGGTATGTTGTATGTAGTTTATAAGGCTCACTATGATGTCGTTATAACTGTGGTATGCTGTATGTAGTTTATAAGACTCCCTATGGTGTCGTTATAACTGTGGTATATTGTATGTAGTTTATAAGGCTCACTATGATGTCGTTATAACTGTAGTATGTTGTATGTAGTTTATAAGACTCACTATGATGTCGTTATAACTGTAGTATGTGGTATGTAGTTTATAAGACTCACTATGATGTCGTTATTACTGTGGTATGTTGTATGTAGTTTATAAGGCTCACTATGATGTTATAACTGTAGTATGTTGTATGTAGTTTATAAGGCTCACTATGATGTCGTTATAACTGTAGTATGTTGTATGTAGTTTATAAGGCTCACTATGATGTCGTTATAACTGTAGTATGTGGTATGTAGTTTATAAGGCTCACTATGATGTTATAACTGTAGTATGTTGTATGTAGTTTATAAGGCTCACTATGATGTCGTTATAACTGTAGTATGTTGTATGTAGTTTATAAGGCTCACTATGATGTCGTTATAACTGTAGTATGTTGTATGTAGTTTATAAGACTCACTATGATGTAGTTATAACTGTAGTATGTGGTATGTAGTTTATAAGACTCACTATGATGTCGTTATAACTGTAGTATGTTGTATGTAGTTTATAAGGCTCACTATGATGTCGTTATAACTGTTGTATGTTGTATGTGTATGTCGTTTATAAGGCTCACTATGATGTCGTTATAACTGTGGTATGCTGTATGTAGTTTATAAGACTCACTATGATGTCATTATTACTGTGGTATGTTGTATGTAGTTTATAAGGCTCACTATGATGTTATAACTGTAGTATGTTGTATGTAGTTTATAAGACTCACTATGATGTCGTTATAACTGTGGTATGCTGTATGTGTATGTAGTTTATAAGGCTCACTATGAACTTATTCTGACAAATTCGGTACAGACGTACTTAGCAACCGCTAAATGTAGCAGCGTAGGACAAGATGCAATATATTATAACCGTCAACAAGCTCACCAGCCTGGTGTAGATGGTCATTGCTGTATATAATTATCTCAAATTCTTTGCCACATTTACTTTTAGTTTAGCCTTTCTCTACGGACATTCGAGTATGATTGACTTTATAATTAATCTTTATGTAGTTGGTATGTCTGATGTGGCCGTTGGGGCTTTGTATATTTCTTATTTACAGTTTGATTCGTATTATAAATTATCTAAAATATATTTGCAAACAACAGACTATTTTATTGCTTCATATCTGTATAGGAAATCCTTATTTAATTTCTGAAATACCTTTTGTCACGTAACCCGGTCTGTTAGCCAATGAATTCACCAATGCAATATTTTTGTTTCAGTGTAATATATCCTCGGCTTTTTTCATGTGCTATGCCAGTAAGAAATTGATTGCAATTTAATAATATGGACATTGACGATACGTCAATTGATAGTAGTAAAATGGCTGCCGTGTTTAGTTTTTGTCCTTCAACTTAAACACCTGTCAAATGCAAATGTTCTGCATTTTCTAATTAAAGGCATATGAAATTGTTTTATATGAGATTTCATGAAACTACCTTGACAATTGAGTTCTGTGCGGAATTATTTTTTAAAAAAGACCTAAGACCTGTTTAAAATAATTTCAAGCGGAATGAAAATTCATTAGGATTTAATATAAAAGATACATCATTTAACTTCGCAAAATATATTGTCATTGTCTCAAATCTTAGAAAATTCAAAATCACTGAAAACCTTTACTACAAAACAACAAGCAAATATCAACATGTCAACATTATCATAATTCAAACTCATGTTTAACAAAAGTAGTGCAAAATATGAACAAAAGAACAAATTACAAGGAAGACTCCTATACAAAGTACAAGGAGAATAAGACCAGGTGTTCCAACAGAGTAAGCATTTTCTGCTTCATTAACGACATCTGCCATATAAACTTTGGTCAATACAAGTACGTAATGTCCCGTTCTCAAATAAGAACAAGTACACAACAACGGCACCAACAAGCACACTAACGAGCATCAAACACGACAAGCTTCCTATAGTACAAAGGAACAATATTTCTCGTTGAGATCACTGTGACGACCGTAAAACTTTCTCATAATTTTCATCAACCTGCATCTTTTGAAACTCCGTGTTACGGGTTTTTCCGTCGGTTGACGACTTCTTGCGTGAAAAAGGGAACCGGCCCTTGAATATTGAATCAACGGCGACATGTTAATACCTTAGGTTGCTGATGCAGAGCTGCTGCTATCCAGAAAACGAAAATTCACTATAGGGAAATTGAAATAAATAACGTTTATCATACAGCTTTGTGGAAGGCTGTTGGTGAAGATATATATTACCGGTTAATTTCGAATCACGCAGGCTGTTGATGAAGATATATGTTACCTTTTAACAAATCTTTCCATTTTCAAGCCTAAAAATAACTACACCTTTACTATACACCCTGTATTGTTTTAAGCAATGAGGTTAAAGAGGATGTTACAGGTTGACAGACCAGATTCGAATGTACTTTTGCACTTAAATATTCATGTTTGATAACCTGAGGGTTTACTTTAATGCTTGGACGCTTCCCAATATGCTTTATTTAAAACATCAATATTACACTATAATATGCTAATATCACCCATAAAATGTGAATAATCTATCTGAAGTTTTCGATTTTCGATAATGTTCTGTCCTGAAAAAAGGTCAAATTAAAATGTTATTGCATATTACAGAGCATTAGTTCAATATCCGTCTTACGTTTTTTTAAAGGAATGACATGTTTCAAGTTTTGATTACACTATCATATTGAAATTAGAATATGTTTACTAGTTGACACAGCACTTTACCCATTCTCGCTTCAGAGACAGCGATAAAACAAATAACTACGGCAAAACAACAATAGAAACAAAACAAAAATATGTTACGTTAGTCTGGGCTTGTACACGCTCAGAATTGTATGAAGATGGCTTCTGCGGATGATGCGGCCATTTAAACACGTGTTATAGCGCCATCACACAAAGAAAGAGAATATTTCTCAATAAGATCACTATGGCGACCGAACAATTTCCCCATAATTTTCATCAAACTGTAATCCTTGTGTTACGAGTTTGTCAGCCAGTTGACGACTTCCTGAACGGAAATCTTGATAATGAGAACAGGTCCTTAAATATCGAATCAACTGTGACATGTAAATACCAAAGGTTGGAGATGCAGGGATACTGCTATCCAGAAATGGGAAATTCACAATAGGGAAAGTGAAATAATCACATTAATCATACAACTTGATGGAAAACTGTCCATGTTGATATCGTTGTAGGCTGACGAAGAAGAGTCTGACGTGGCTTAGATTTCCAATTCTGGTAAGTATATACGATGGACGTAGTCAATAAATTTCTTGCTATTTAATGACATTACGTCATCGATATATGAAAGTAACATGAAACGGCCTTACAAAGTCTTTGTGCCCTGTTTCAATAAATTCAGCCTCGCATGAAACAAAAAAGAACCAGCCAACAGAGGGGTGCAGTTAGTTCCCACAGGTATGCCAACAGTCAATTGGATGATTTAAAGTTACTCTTATGCTGTATATTAAATGCAGGATAGCTAAAGGAGAATGTGATGGTTTGGCAAATACTCCATATCTTTTATGATAAACAAAGTTTACTAGCTTGAACGTTTGTAAAGTCGGATACCCGGATTTGCCACAAGTTGTGAACACGACGCTTTGGAATTATAGAGTTTGCAAAACGAATAGCCATTTTCCACTACCATGCTCATATAAACACAGGTATCTAAAATCAGACACTTTGCTTCACACAATAATATGGAGTCTGTTTGTATAATCCTTATTGGTTCTGAACTTAGAGTGTAACCGAAGGCTTTCGGTGTGAACATCGCACCTCTGATGCGTCCATCTGCAGAAATAGAAAAGTAACTTTTGTTATATGTGCAAAATACTGCTTATGTGTGATCGTACATGGCGGAGTTATGAATTATTTTTAATATGAATATATACGAGATAATTTTTCAGTACTTCTTTATACACTGAACCCTGTGACACAAAACAAAACGAGTTTTTGTAGTGAATGAAGAGATTTATACCACTAAAATCATCACTGTAATGACAAGTAACCATGACTTCTCTTTAACGTTGTGAGAACAAACATCCTATTAGGACAAGACGAAATACAATGAAAACTTCGATAATAATTTTCTCCTATATTTTCTTTGAGCATTGTTTACATGTATATATATCATACTTACAATCACAGGATATGCCATCATTACAAACGCTCTGTAGATGAAAGGGACAACGTATTACTAATCATTTCTTGTTACAAACATTCCAAACCTTATATCATCTTTATATTTCTCGAAGATTTAGATAAAAATATTACAAATAAAACATTTTAAAATGTGACTTTCTTTATATATACAGTATAAGGCGAATGATAAATGTGTTGCAATTTGAGTATTGTATGATTGTTGTATCGTTTTTTCTGTAACTGTAAACTGCATGAGTTATTCACGTAATAATAAAGAGACAACGTGGCGTCATCTTCAGTGTCTTTAAACAGTGTACACATTTCACGTACAATAGTAAATCTCCCAATATTTAGGGGTAACAGCACATGTATCTATGGTTTGACAGTATGTGAAGAGAACGAACTCACCTGATTTGTGTCACCAAGGTAACGACCTGTCAAGGTGCCATATTCCTCTGTTGATCCATGTCCTGCAAGGTATCCCACAAATACAGATGTTACGGCATCACTTGTGAGGGAGTGAACCCCAACGTCTAAGATGGTGTATGTTATAGAGAAGCCTGTACCGGCCAACTCTGTCCACACAAGTCCAAGGTCAGATATGTAGGAATCATCCAGTTTGATATTGGACACGTCACTCGTCTTAGCCAATATAACAATGCGGTGTGTGTACTGTAGTTTTCCAGTCAGGTTGGCGATAGGAAAGGTATACTCCGACAGGAAATGATCCACAGAAAGTGCCACAATCATACGGGGGTCGCCATAGGACTTCATGCTCCGGCCAAGGCTAACGAGTGCCACTATTATAGCTTTGTCTGCTGATATGACAGCACCTGCGCCAGGATCTACTTGGAAGTCATAAATAGAACCAATCTCTTTCATTAAAACATTTGAAGGTGGTGAACTTATGGTAACGTGTGTATTTTCTTTGGAATTGACAATGCGGATGACTTCTGGTTTTGCATACATCGGAAGTCCAAACACAACATAAGAAGTTGATAGTGAACTAACTGGAGGCAACATAGACTCCATGAAGTCCTTACTAGTTGAGCTCCCCATTTGGATATATTCGTGAGCCGTTACCGCAGACAATGGAAAAGAAGACAATACGCGTGTTCCTGATAGGTCATGTGACTGGATCTGAAACAATTCGTACTGATTTATTGTCAATGTCAGTATTTGACCTACGGTATAATCCGTTCCTTCATAGGATATACTACCTTGTGGTGGAGGGTAGATTTCTACAACGGTGAGATCATATAATGCCACAACGCCGAGCGAGCTGAAGTACTTTGTACTGGTCTGATTATATGTTATATCTATGTATTCGTTGCCAAGGGCGTCGGTAGGGTACACCATAAATGCATCTCCAGAATTTGTCTGTGTGTCTGCTGCGTACACTGATATTGTATCAGTGGCAGTGATATGTATGGATGAAGTTCCCTTGCCGGTTCCAATCATGCGCACAGTCCTTGGTATATCAACTTCAACGATAGATCCTGATTGGACAGTCAGAGTGATGTCGACTTTACCCTCGTCCCATATCGGTGTCTGTATACGGACTGATACGTCAGATTTCGCATTCGTAGAGCAGTAAACTTTTACATAAGAGCCCTTGATATAATGCTCGGAAAACATGAACACAAATTCTGTTCCCATTTGGTCGATACAATCCTGCAAGTGATCACATACATTGTGTCTTATCATGATGTTAACCTAGTCTTGTACTGTACAGTATGGTCACATTATTTAAAATATTTTAGTCTTGGATATTGAACGAATATATGAAAACGAAATATTTGAAAATTATGATCTCGAAATATCTGTTTAGGTCCGAATTTAATAAAAACCAATCATATACTTCAAACATATTGGAATACTGCGATTAAAAATACCTCAAAGGTAAAAACCAAAACGTCAGGAAGGGGTATAATGACTTAATGTTAGCAGGTAGGATACTCGTAGATTTCAGCTGATCTAATATCTACTTACGTCGTAGAAATACCGTCCATCAGTACACATGTCTTTGACAAGTATGACAACGAATATCTAAAAGTAAAACATATTGCTAAAATAAGATAAAAGACAATTGGTTTCATTTTTGCAGTTGCACAAAACTATCACATGAGAAAGTAAATGTTCATGAGATGCTGTTTCTATGTATCGTTTATCAAACTTTAATATCATTTTAGGTAGAAAATGACATCAATAATCAAACGTAATGTTTGAAGTTTTATCTCAGCGCGTAGATGAAGAAGTTAAAGAAGAAAAACATACAACGAATTACAGTTAGTGACATAAATAAAGCCCTACACAATAGGTTGTTTGCGATAGATAAATTTTCACATAATGAGTTGCTTGTTCTAAATAAACCCTATTCCTACAATAAGTGGATTTTTCTATCGATGACGTCAATCTAAAAGATGTTTGCGACAGATAAAGTCTAACCATATAATACGTTGTTCGTCTTAGATTAAGCCTATCAGCTCAATAAGTCGTGTTTGTTTTTTAACCACGAAAGAAATAAATTATCAATGTCATGGATGGAGTTTGCTATGTTATTATTGTTATATTATGTGTCGGAACGAGACTCCTTTTATGGATGCAAGTATGTCGTTACCATTCGTACGAATGTAGTTCTGAATCAATCAGGACTATTTTTTGTTTTGTCTATTCTTATTTTGTACGCCCCCCCCCCCGCCCCCAACCTCAACCCCCACCCACCCCAATAAAAAAATTCCCGATTATTAGATGATTAAAACGAAAACTACTTTGTCTGAATTACCAAGAATTAATGATAATAATAGCAATTAACTGAAGTATGCTCCAAACCTGTCATCACCTTGGTAAGAATTGAAGAAGAAGCAGTTTTCACATATCTTGAGGATCCTTGGTGAGATACAGGTAAATAGGTTTACATATATATCTCTGGTACGCCAAGTTAGTGAAATTTCTAGGTCTTTCTGCCCTAGTAATATGCTTAACAGACCACCTTTCATTACACAATGTAAGAGGTTAAGTAGTAATTATTTGGTTTCTACTTAATTAACAAGGCATGCTAATTGCAGTTATGTGACCTTCGTGTCATGAAAATAGTTGTTTTACATCTATTCATAGGCACAAATAGAAAACAATTGTACATATATATGATAAAGTCAGATAAAATATTCAGTTAACATAATCATCGATGAGTATGTTATCATTGTCTCATTGTTTCTACCCTGCTCAAGGAGGTACGAATATGACGCTAATGAATTCAGCAATTATTGAACAAATTAAAGAAGTCAGCAGGGACTTATTCTGTCTGTTAAAGGGTAATTGAATTCAGTGGATCATTCAGGTCGAAGACCCTTAAATAGATCTCAGTTCAACTAAGATATGAATTACTTGGTGACAAAATCCACAAGTTATAATTATGACATAATCAAATAGATGTGGAAAATATAAAAATGTTGTTTTCGAAAATAATTAATTAATCCTGTTAAACAGAATATAGATTATGAAAACCTAGCACATTATTATTCAGATGAGTGGTTTTAACGTAATACAGTGAGTATGGAGAGAAACGTCCACCTCTGAATGTAACATGAATCATGAATTCATTAATTTAAACTCATTTTAATAAAACATAAATTTCTTTTTTGTTTTTAAATGGTTATTGTTTTCCGCCCTCTTTTTGTCTGAATCGAATTGGTTTTGAGATTCTAAATATGCGTTCATTTGCTATTGCAATTTGTTATTATTGATTTGCGTTATATCAATATGTGCAAACAAGCAAAATTCTTCACTTTATTTTCTTGCAAAATTTAAAATTGAAAATATTATTTCCTTTTCAAAAGATCTTATTATACATATCAAGAAAAGTGGATATGAAAATCGATTCCAAAGTAGGCCTAGATCGTCGATGTTGATTTCAAAGGACGCAATAGACCTTTGCCTTTAATGCTGATTTCAAAATACACAGCAAATGTTTACCATTCATGCCAATTTCAAAGTACTCCATGAATCTCGACAGTTCCTACCGATTTCAAAGTACCGAGGAGATCTAGACCGTTTATGTCAATTCCGACATACATCATACTCATTAGATCTAAACTGATTTCAAAATACTCCGTCGGTGGAGACATAACACCTTTTTATACCAGTGTATTACATTAACAGTGATTACATATGACCCTGGATATCCTTGGGCATTGAAAGTAAACCATGACATCTGAACCTTCATGCGGTATGTCACAGCAATGTGTCAATACCTTTGGCTTGATGTAATCTCGGATTATTATTTTTTTTAAAGAATTCTTAAACATTTCATACGTATGATTTATATAATGATAATAAATACGAATTGGTGTCATTTTCTGGAATCACAGCATGTTCTTCCATCTTGTTGGTTTTAATTGACCGCGGTAATCTCCAAATTGGGTAAAATTGCACACAAATGAAAATCATGTTTAAACACAAACCTGGAATTAGACAAAACAATACCAAATGATGAATTAAACAAGATTCATAAAACCCTCTATGTTAGTGTGAGATTGTTCTGATGGTAAGATACCGGGCCCTTTAGTTACATAGAAAAAGTCGTTTAAAGAAACCCGTTGGAAATGTGCGGATGGCGGACGACCCTCCTTGTCATGAAAACATCACGAAAATACCAAAAAGTGTCAACATAATCATAATTCAAACTCAAATCTCAAACGAATGATGGAGACACCTGACAAAAGTATAGAGAGAATAAGACCGGGCGTTCAGGAAGACTAAGCGATTCCTGCTTAAGCGTTTTCTGCTTCATCTTCACTCGCCATGTAAATCTTGGTCAATCCAAGCAATTAAAGTCTCAAGTGAGACCAAGTTATTTAACAACGGGACCAGCCGGCAAACAAGCATGCAAATCACGTCATTTGAACTAACAGAAAAGAAGTGATGCCCTAAATGTAATTTTATCGGGATCGCAGAAGCAATAACACGTATATTAAAAACAACTATATAGAGTAGCGACGTACACACTTCGCCGTATACCACTAGTGCATCCTGTAAGCCTAGAATGTGTTCAGCTGGCCACAATGGACACTACATAAGTAAGCAAAATATTGATTTCGAATTACGTAGGTTGTTGATGAAGATATATATTACCGGTTAATTTCGAATCACGTTGGATGTTGATGAAGATATATAACCGGTTGATTTCGAATTATGTTGGATGTTGATGAAGATATACATGTATATAACCGGTTAATTTCGAAATACGTAGGCTTTTGATGAAGATATATATGACCGGTTAATTTCGAAATACGTTGGATGTTGATGAAGATATATATGACCGGTTGATTTCGAATGACGTAGGCTTTTGATGAAGATATATATTACCGATTAATTTCGAATTACGTATGCTGTTGATGAAGATATACATGTATATAACCGGTTGATTTCGAATTACGTAGGCTTTTGATGAAGATATATATTACCGATTAATTTCGAATTACGTATGCTGTTGATGAAGATATACATGTATATAACCGGTTGATTTCGAATTACGTAGGCTTTTGATGAAGATATATATTACCGATTAATTTCGAATTACGTATGCTGTTGATGAAGATATACATGTATATAACCGGTTGATTTCGAATTACGTAGGCTTTTGATGAAGATATATATTACCGATTAATTTCGAATGACGTATGCTGTTGATGCAGATATACATGTATATAACCGGTTGATTTCGAATTACGTAGGCTTTTGATGAAGATATACATTACCGGTTGATTTCGAATTACGTAGGCTTTTGATGAAGATATATATTACCGATTAATTTCGAATGACGTATGCTGTTGATGCAGATATACATGTATATAACCGGTTGATTTCGAATTACGTAGGCTTTTGATGAAGATATATATTACCGGCTAATTTCGAAATACGGAGGCTGTTGATGAAGATATATGTTACCGTTTAACAAATCGTTCCATTTTCAAGATTGAAAATAACTACACCTTTACTATACACCCTGTATTGTTTAAGCAATGAGGTTAAAGAGGATGTTACAGGTTGACAGACCAGATTCGAATGTACTTTTGCACTTAAATATTCATGTTTGATAACCTGAGGGTTTACTTTAATGCTTGGACGCTTCCCAATATGCTATATTAAAAACAACAATAATACATTATAATATGCTAATATCACCCATAAAACGTGAATAATTTATCTGAAGTTTTCGATTTTCGATAATGTTCTGTCCTGAAAAAAGGTCAAATTAAAATGTTATTGCATATTACAGAGTATTAGTTCAATATCCGTCTTACGTTTTTTTAAAGGAATGACACGTTTCAAGTTTTGATTACACTATCATATTGAAATTAGAATGTGTTTACTAGTTGACACAGCACTTTACCCATGCTCGCTTCAGAGACAGCGATAAAACAAATAACTACGGCAAAACAACAACAGAAACCAAAAATGGTATGTTAGTCTGGGCTTGTACACGCTCAGAATTGTATGAAGATGGTTTCTGCGGATTTTGCGGCCATTCAAACACGTGTTATAGCGCCATCACACAAAGAAACAAACTATTTCACAATGAAATCACTATGGCGACAGAAAAATCTCATTTTTATTTTCATCAACCTGTATCTTTTGAACCCTTGTGTTTCGAGTTT